TCTCAATACCACGTATTCGTTTCGATATTTCTTTTCTTCAGAACTGCCCCTATGGTTTTGCCAACTTATAAATGCCAAGGCTTTCTTCTCTGCACTATTCAAAATTTCTTCGGTCAACCATTCCTTTTTTTTTCCACACACCCTTTTGTCGATCGCTAAATGTTTCAATGCGCTTTCCTTCACACCTTGTACAAAGTTTGCATATCTTTCATTGATGTTAGAATGAGAATTGCTAAGACTTTTATGATTCTTCGCAATATCATTTCGAAATTGATCCAAAACTTTATCGTCCGTTAATTTCCGAGAACGTTAATAATAGTTCGGATTGGAGAGAAAATTGAGAACAGAATTATTCAATATGCCCGAAAAAAAGAATATGGAACTATCGTATAATGGAATGAACATGTATGTATATATTCTTTTCTGTACTATACTTGACTTGATGTTTTCTTTCTATGTACACTATAGAGAGAGATATAAAGCAAGAAATGGAGAAAAGAACAAATTTTATCGTTTTATTCAAAAGAAAGATTCCCTTCGCTATGAAATTCGTGTTTATTCTAGCAACTTCCAGATTAAAAAGTTAACAAATTTGAAAGTACCCTTCTCCAGTTTTTCTGCCAGTTAGTAGTACACAACTTTTTACAAAAAGGTACCGTTTAGTTTTTGAGTTATAAGCCTGCCAATATCGCAGCTGAACGTATGAAAGAGTGGGTATCTACTCCAATATAACAGCCAAATGAGTTTTCAGAGAGCTTTCTGAAATACCATGACTTTCCGGCTTTCTCTTTGGGTCATGGTAGTCAGAGATAATATATGTAAAACAGAAGTAAAAATGGTTAAAAGGCTGCTTTTATCCATAGTCAGTATCTTCTTGAAACAAACTTTGGTGTTTTCTTCTTTCTATGCATACTATAGAGACAGATATAGCAAGAAATGGAGAAAAGAACAAATTTTATCGTTTTATCCAAAAGAGAGATTCCCTTCGCTATGAAATTCGTGTTTATTCTAGCAACTTCCAGATTAAAAAGTTAACAAATTTGAAGGTACTCTTCTCCAGTTTTGCGACGAGTTTGTAGTATACAACTTGTACTATTTACCATGCTATTCTTTAGAAAAAGGTCTCTTTTACTTTTCAAGATATAGAGATCTCAACATCAAGAGTGCTCATCTACAAAAAGAGAGTCAGAATTAAGAATTGTATGATCGAACAGAATAAAAAAACATGGCTATTTTCCTGTGAGAATTATGTATAGCCAAATAGATAAAAATGTATACAGATGATGTAAAATATACAAATTACAAAATATTATATAAAGAATATGTACACTATGTGTAATTTGTTAATTTCGAAGAAAATGAGTGAGGTATAAGATAAGTATAACTGGATTATATTATAATGCAAAATTCAGACAAAATTTTTCCGAAATATATAAGTCCGCTCTGTTTCAACAGGTTATTCTTTTATCAATCGATTAAAAACACATACTTTTCTTTGACAGTTTATGCTACTCTGATGCTATTTAGACTTTCCTATAAGAGAAATTATTCTATTTTTCTGTAAAGCACAAAATAAGAAAAGAACAAATTTTATATTTTCATCAAATGTTCAACTTTTACAGATTCAAGGAAGAGAGTGCTCACTCTAAACTTATTTCGTATTCTGGCAACTTCGCGAGTTCAAATTGCATTAATTAGACAAGCTGCATTTCCATTTGTTCCACTAGTTTAAAGTACACGAGTTGTACACGATACTGATGTATTTTTTAGAAAAGGATCCCCTGTAGTTTGTGAGGTATATCGCTGTAAATATCGTATAAAAAAGCAAGATTTTTGCACTGATAGGACAAACGGAGATATTCTTCGAAATATAGCTTATTCATCAAATATTCACCTTTTATATATTCGAGGAAGAGAGTGCTCACTCTAAATTTATTTCGTGTTCTGCCAACCTGTATTTCAGAAAAATCCAATGAACGACTTTCGATCGGAGATTTTGACCGGCACTTGGGAAGGTGGCCTTGTAAATAGTTACATTTCTGCTGAACGATATTTCAAACAATATTCCCGTGTGTCCTATCAGTGCAAAAAGCTTGCTTTTTTATATCAGCCATTTTAAGTCAGAAACATACTAAATTTTTAGGAAACACTTAGAATAGTGTATTGATGCTGAAAGAGTTCTCAAGTATGAGATTCAGCGAGTTTAAACGTCAGAAGGTTTTTGGAAACCTCCTGTAAAACCTTAGCCTGGAAAACCCACAATTTTGCAGTTTCACAAGCGCTATCTGATTTATGGTTATTTTAAAAATAACCATCGCCACGTTGATCAGCACATTCGGTAACCTATGTTTCAAGTATTTCCGAGATCTTCCGACGTGTCCAGACCGAATTAGCGTGGTCTCCGGAGAACCTTTCTAGCTCCGAAACCTTGTAAGCTAACGACCTGAGACTGCTCTAGAAACGAATATCTCAGTCCGGGCTACCTGCCTGTCGTCTCAAAAGTTAAAATCCGAAACTTTTTCAGTGGTGTGACATCTTTCGCAAAATATCTTCGCAAGGTACACCACCTGCAGGTAATTTTGGGACAAAACTTTTTAGTTTTTCTTGTAGCCCCAACATTTTTCTTTTGAACAGCGAAAACCGCAACTTTTTAGCTGCTTCCTAGAAAAGGTTATTGAGAAAATGACCATCCTTTTTCTATTTTGAAATGGATAGTAATATAAGGACACTCAATAACAAAAATGTGCACTTTTTCTGTTATGTTTTTACCCATTCTTCTCTCGTATCGTAAAATTGTTATTATGCAAAGAAAGGAAAATATTGAGAAATAATATGACTTTTGTTCTTCTTACTTAAGTTTCATATCGCTTTTTTACATCTGAAAAATCCGCTTTTTCTCCATGTAATTACACAATAACAGGAAAGCGTAAAGATTAAAGTATAATGATAAAGAAGAGCAGAAAGTTTTGTAGTAACCACATTTGTCGTCTCAGTTATTTACTTTCTTGAGACTCAAACAGTTGGATGAAAACCAGTTTAGTCTTTATTAATTTTTTATCATGACAAATACATTTGAACCGAGCACATCTGTAACAGATTCTATTTGTCGAGCTATTAAATCTCAATTTGATATTGATGCGGTGGAATCAAAATCTTTATCAATAATCAGATGTAATCAAGGATGCAGTTGCAACGTATTTGAAATTCAAGTAGATCCAGGGAAAACAAGTTTTATTGCTAAATTCCCACGTGATGACGATGCTAAACACGGATTAAATTTAGAAATGTCGTTATTAAAGTACTTGAATGAACTGAGTAATTTGGCTCCATTACCATTTCAAATTCCTCAACTTAAATTACATTATCACACGTCAGAAATTCCATTTTCTCTACATAAAAAAGTCCCTGGATCACATTTAACAACAGAAGAATATGAAAACTTGAACGAATTGGCTAAAAACAATTTAGCTTTGAAAATCGCAAAATTTTATCAACAATTACATTTGATTCCTATTAGTAAGGTTGAAGCAATATTTGTTGATTTGGAAGTTCGGGAATTATTATCACCATATAATGATATACTAATTGAATCCACAATTAAGAAAAACCGTAAACTATTGAATGAGAAATATCAATTTACAGATGAAAATATTAATTTAATCTATTTTGCTTTAAAAGAATATCGTCGAGTAATTTCTGAACTTGATACTGCTAATAGAATATTAGGACATTTTGATGTACATGGAGAAAATCTTGGTTTTGATCATAATCGCGAGGAATTAATTGGTATATTCGATTTTGCCGATTGTGGGATTGGAGATTTTCATTTGGAAATGCATACTTCAAGTTGGATTTCTATTGATTTATCTAGAAGAATTATTAACTTTTATCAACAATTAACAAATAAACAAGTGAATCGAACTAAAGTTCATTTATTTACATTAATGTGTCGATTAGATGACTATGCAACTTTAATGGATCGCATTGAAAATGGAAGAGAAAGTTGTACAGAAGCCGAAATTAAAATTGTATTTGAACGTATTCCACAATGGATAGAAATTCTTAAAAAGTATGATATCGATTTGAAAGAAAGCTAGTTTTCACTGACATTATCATCGAAATGTGATCAACTACAATTCTAACCAATATGTATGTTTTCCTGTAATCAATAGAAAATCAATTACTCTTGTAGTGTCGTATATTTCAGTTCATATGATTTTAAATGACTGTAATATGCAGCGAATTCAAAATTTAAGTGAAATTAATTTTTTGGTATTAGTTAAGGATCGAAACGGTGTTACGTATGAACTGTTCAGATGATGACATAACGGATATGATTAAATTCTCTCGACTGTATTACAAAGACGATGAAACTGAACTTGGAAAAATTGACAAAGTCAATACTTGGAAAAAAACACTCATTATGAAGTTCATTTTAAACGAATAAATGTGACACGGAGATACAAATAAAGATCCGGAATAAACTGCCATGATATTTATAATTGCAAAGAAAACTGATTGGTAAGACAGCTTTGACGTTTAGACTCACTTTACTGCGTCTTCAACTAGCTTACGGCGGTACAGAATTGTACCAAGCAAAAAAGCTCTGTAGACAAAATCTAGATCTTAAGCATAATCAAGTGCACAATTCACAGCAACGTGCATCTAGATATTTGACACAAAAAAAATCATGTTAACTAGTACCAATCTACCTTAAAATCGTGTAGTAGATCTTCAATTCAATGAATTGGGTCGGCTGATATGTCTATACACCAGCGATGCTAACACCCGATTAATTGACCTATAATTGGGCACTTTAGCTAGATGTTTTCAAAAGTTGTGCTTTAGGGATCTTGGCACTCAATTAAGCGCCCGCTCACAGCACAATTAATTGACCTATAGGTGGATACTTCAGCTAGTTGCTTTTGAAAGGTGCGGGATGTATTTTTTTTATTATTTTTCAGAGCTAGTGCTTTTCTACATCAAAATAAATGTGAGAAATTACACGGTGCAGAACGATTAAGAATGTTTCAGTGAAAGAATTTGATTTTATACATCTCAGTAATACAACTAAGTATATTAAATATATTTAAAAAATATTTTTGTAAAATCATTTTACATAAAAAGCGAGCTTTCGATACTTCACAGTATCATCATCAGGCTAATATGATTGTCAGCAGAGATGATTATATATGCTAGTTCAAACAGAGAAGAACGAAACCACTAGAAAATTTTACAGGACGGGGGACGATAAGAGGCAAAATCAGCCCATGCTCAAATTAGTCTTATGTTAACTCATCTGATGCAGTTTTTGTCCACGATTAACGCTAACATACTTTAACGTCGTTCATCTCTATAATAGTGAGCAATCTTCCCGTTAACCACTCCACTTTATACATCATGCGATAGAGAATTTCACGGGCTTCAAAATGATGTATAAGATGATCTTAAGAAAATGTAACTGGATACTCTAAGATCCGAAATACTCTGTAGCATCTCAGCAAACCTGTGAGTCAATGTCGTTCATGTTTAGAATATCCATTGATTTTCTCGTGAATTACTCCACCTTATATGTCGTTCGATAAAGAATTTCACGAGCTTCAAAATGAGCTATAAATAAGTCTTTCAAAATATGCCCCCATTGGTCAATAGTTGAAATACTTGGCCGATATAATGATTTTCACCTATCTTAGTGCTTTAAACACTCCGTTAGTCGTTTTTCTGCTATAACAAAAAATTATGTATTGTTTGAAAACATACCATTGGATAGCCCTTGAAACTCTCTGCAAAGTGAGCTGGTCACAATGTCCAGACAGGTGTGGCCAGTCATTAAAGATACGGAAAAAAAGCAGTACGGTGTGTCATAATCACAAGAACTCCCGTATTTTTGACTTTTTAGTAAACGGTGGAACCAATCTGAATAATGTTTTGAATAGCCCGAAGATTTTTCTATCAGGTGAGGTGCATATCGACACCTCTTGTTTTCCTTTCATACAATAATTACTCGCACAAGTTTGACAATAAAGGGGGATATATAGGTGTATCATAATGAATTAACGACGAACGAAATAATTCAAGATTTGTAATTAATTGCTTAGAATGATCAATGGTACCATGTCCTGATGATTTTACAATCCTATTGATATTCTCAAAAAAAATGTTGAATACATACACATTGGTCCTAATCGTTCAACCGACAAATAAACATGTTGCATCGAATGGATGTTTGAGTTACAATCACTTTCATAAGAAAAGTTGATAATAGAGCTTCTGGAAAACCTGACCGCTGGAAAACCAAGTCCTTAATATCTGACGTTGATCTACCGGTTTCCTGCGGTTGTACCGAGTATTTCGGGTGCTAGACTACCCAGTTACATCATCTTAAGACTATCTTATATATCATTTTGAAGCCAGTGAAATTGTCTTTCGAATGACGTGCAAAGTACAGTGGTTAATGAGAAAATTAGTCATCGTTATAAACACGAACGTCGTTGACCTACCGGTTTCCCGGGATGCTACAGAGTATTCCGGATCTTAGACACAGTGGGCATCTAGGCGGACACTAGGTGAAAAATCGAAGTTGCTCCTTTATCAAATAGTCTAGAATGTAGCCCTTGAAAAGGGCTATTGAATGGTGTTTAAATGCCTATTGTGATGTTCACTCCTTCGCAGAGAAAAACGGGTACAAAACAGTACTGTGTTATACTACTTTTAGCGACATCTTGAGAGTTATTTGTTCATTTTACTTGCTTCGTTGCATTAAATGGCTGCCCAAAGCACATATTCAAAATCAGCAGAATGAGCGCTATCTATTGCTACCAAAATGTTACTAATTCCAAAAGAAATTCGATGAGAAACAGGCCATACAAGCCGCATAGTGTCAATTACAGATGACCCGTCCTCAATATAGTCGACCCCCCACCGTTAGCCACCATGCAAAACGACTTATTTGTACACCAAAATGTTCTCCAGATCAAGCTGCATCATTGGTGATGTCATCTTTTTTCACTTTTTTGTTTAAGTCGAGTAATAGGTTTTACAAAAA